AGGGAGGTCTGTGTCATCTTTGAACACAAAGACAACATATATGGCTAAAGATTTACTCCCTTTATTGTCTGTATGTCTAGTGAAGGGAATTCAACCTCAACAAGAATGCACTTGAAGTCACTGAGATTTTTGTTGGTATTCCTGATGACATTGACTCCCACTGGGGAATGAGTTTGGTCTTAGAGAATGACAATTTTTACACTTCCAAGGAGGCCAGACAATCTCAAGTGGTCAATTCTGTGCCACATGGAAAATATTCTCTGTATTTACAGGATGCTGACAGGTCTGTCCTGCTGCATCAGAACAGTTGGGATCAGGATGTGTATGTCCTTCTCTCTGCAGCACCACAATTTTAGGCTGTTTTTTGCTTTATATTGCCAAGAGTTGCAATTGTAGTAGCAATGTGAACAGTCTGATAGAAAGAAATGCAGTATTTAGCTAGCTAGAGGAAGGAGTTCAAACTATTTCTTCCTATTTATTGGAGTATTATAACAAGTCCCATGGACTGACATCTTGGCTTTTGAAATGCAACGGGTTTCATAAGCCATCTTTGTAAAGAGCTCTCTGGAAGAAGTTATGGCACCAAAAAAAAAAAAGGATTCCAATCTACTTCTCCCACTCTTTCTTTTGGTTGTCTTTAAGTGACCTCCTACTGAGTGACCTCTGAATTGATAAATTGAGTTAACTGATCTCAAAAAGCAATAAACTTATTGATTCTATGCTGTTAGTGGCTTTTTCAGTGAACTGAAAAAAGCCCCACATTGGAATTGATTCAAACTTATCAATAAAAATTCTACACATGCAGAAGCTTCTTTAGTACAACATTTCTCAAAAAAAAACCAAAACTCATGTTCTAATGATAGCCTTACATATAGCTCTAGAAATGAACAATTCTGTTTGGAAAACAGGCTTTGAACAGCAACCAGTAAATAAAGCAGTGATACATCTGTTATCAAGTTTAAAAAATAATTTAAAAACTTAGTAGGCTATTGTAAGACTGCAGCAAGTAATTTTCATTGCAGGTGTCGAGAATTGGTCCCTGAAGAAACTCAACAAGTTCCACTGGCAAGGTCAGGGCCAGAGTGAGGGGACAGTCCCCAGCATCACTGAGTGGGATTCCCCTGATGAGGGGATTGAGAGCAGCCCTGCCAAGAAGGACCTGGGGGTAGAGGTGGATGAAAACTGGACATAAACTGCTCTTGTGGGAGTCCACCTGCATTACTGTGTCCAGCTCTGGAGCCTCCAAGAGCAGAAAGACATCTCCTTGTTTGAGCAGATCCACAGAGATGGTCTGAGGGCTGGGGCACCTGTCTTGTGAAGTTTGAGAGACTGAGTTTTTGAGTTTGGTCTTAAAGAGTGACAACAGAAGGCTCTGGGTACACCTCAGAGCAGTGTTTTTATGCTTAATAAGGATTGAAAAGGTGGAGAGGGACTTTTTACAAGGGCCTCTAGTAATAGGACAAGTGATATCTATTTTAAACTTAGAAGAGGAAAATTTGGATTTGACCGAAGGAAGCAATTCTTTATTCTGAGGGTGGTGAGACACTGGAATAGACTTTACAGAAAATTGTTCATGCCCCATCCCAGGATGTCTCACATTGGAGAGGACTTGGAGCAAACTGTTCTACTGAAAGAGATCCCTGCCTGTAGCAGAGGGGTGGGACTAGATAACTTTTAAAGGTCCCTTCAGTCTCAAACCATTCTGTGATATTCAGTCCTGAATTAGTCAGAACCATAGAACCATGTTATGAAAAAAATACCATTCAATTTTATGATAAAATTCTACCTTCTAATGCAAAAAATGTGAAGGTGCCAATCTCTGGTTGCTGAACAAAACCAGTCTTCTCCATTCCATAGTGTCTGGGTGGATTATTTTCCAACCCAGAGTCCTTTTAATCTGCTTTTCTGTGGGTATGTTAAATATCTGTGTGAATAATATATCTGTACTGATGAGGTTTCATAAATATAAATGTATTTTGTACTGCAGTGTAAAATATTTTGGCAAGAGGCTTAGCACTTCATATTCTACAGAAAACATATGGGTTGAAGGTGGGGGGGGGGAAATGAAAAAGAGAGGAAGGCTAAGTTTTCATGATACAAGAGTGGTTAACAGAAAATAAAAGGTTTTTTTCTTAAGTTTTCTTCTAACAGAGTTATCCAGGACATTTTGTCATTCATAGGAAGTGCTTGTATGTCTTTTCACTTCCTATTACCACTTCCTGTTTATTCTGGTTCCTAATATCAATAGTGTGCTGTGACAGCCATTTTTTTTTTTTTTTGGTCCATGTTTTGGGATTCTTCTGATCTTTGGCAATTTCATCTCAATGCTTTGCAGTTGTCTTAGAATAAGAGTATAGCCATTGTCAGCGCAAAGGTTTTGTAGGCTTTGTTTTGTTTTTATGTTGCTTCCTTTCTTGCATCCCCAGCAACAAATTGTGTTGCTCTTTTCTCTGACTCTTCTCTTGGCACTGTATTGGCTTTCAAGTAATGTGGATTTCTGGGATATCTGACACCCTTATGAATAACATTTACCAGGATGTACAGAATGGAACTCATCCTGTGCACAAATAAGGCCATACAACTCCCTGTAGCTGTTTCTAGGATCTCATTAACCCATCCACCAGCTTGAATCATGTGCTCAGTGGAGACATCAAGATGAACAGCAAAAAATGCATAACCAAAACAGACTAGAAATGCAAATCACATGGCCGTTATCTCACTCAGCACTGTGTACCACACCAGTGCACTCATCACAGTGCTGGAGGTTCAGGCCCAGAAACCCACTTTATGCAGTTCTGGGTCAGCAATTTATCATCTCTTTCAACTCAGGCAGTGCTGGAACCTGAGCTTCATTCATCCAGGTCTGAGTGCCCTAAGTACATAGACATGAAAGCAGTCTCTTAGCAACCCTCACAGAGAAAATTCCTTTGCTGTTTCATCCAGAAACTCCATGAACATGTGGTTGGTTTCATAACTGGTGTATTTTCTCTGCTGCATTTGCAATGACATTCATATTAGAGAGACAGATGTGTTTAAGAAAGAGGCCAGCATTTTGTCCCAGAGTTAGTGTGTTGTCACCATGTCATTTTCTTAAAAATCCCTTTTCCAGGATTTTTTTTCCTGAGAAGCTGAAAAACCTCAGAGGAAAAGAAAAACAATAATTATCCGCTTCTGTGCAATGCAACAGGTGCATCTTTGATTGGTCCACGTTGGTTGTTTCTAATTAATGGCCACTCACAGTCAGCTGTCTCAGACTCTCTGGGAGTCACCAGCTTTTTTTATAATTCCATTCCTTTACTTCCCTTTCCAGGTTTCTGATGGATCCTTTCTCTTTATTCTTTTTAGTATAGGTTTAGTACAGCATTTTAATAGAATATAATATCTTAATATAATAAATCAGCCTTCTGAAACATGGAGTCAAGGTTCTCATCTCTTCCCTCATCCTGGGATCTTTGAACACAACCACAGTGTCTTTGTGACAGGAGCACATCACTGAGGACTCTCAACACCATTGGGCAGTGGGACTGCTTTCCTAACCCTCCACAGGGATTTTTATGGGCCTGGAAAAATTTGGTTGACTCAAGGATATTCCTACATCAAAAAATCTTTTGATCTCTCAGCCATGGGGTCCCTGCCTGTGAATCTCCTAATTCTTCACTGTGTCAAGAAACCTGGGTTCTCACACTGTGAAAAGGTAGTTGCTTCAGAGGCCCCCTCTGGAGTGATCAGCTCCAGGTGACAATGTGTTCTCTATTTTATCAGTAAAGCAATGGGAGGAAATAAATTTTTAATGTATCTTTTTTTGGTTTTTTTTCTTTTTTTTTTTTTTTTTTTCATTTACGGTAAAAAGATCTACAAAATATGAGCTCTGACTGGTCTTTGAACCCTTAAATGGCTCATGAATCCCCTCCACTTGCCTCCCACCTCAGATCTTTGATTATTTTATATAAACATCATCTCTAAATTGTTTGCAACAAGGCAAATCCCACAAGAACAGAGAAAAAATTAGGAATATAATGTCTGGTGTGTATTTATCACAGCTTATCATCAGAGCAATAACTTGATTCAAGCTTTACATAGTGCCAGGGTAATTTTGGGGCTTGGTGATGTTGACTCCTCAGTACTCCATATGAAACAGCTGTTTGGGATGCATTTCTTTCACTACATCTTTCCACTGAGATATTTAAATTTATGATGATTTACATTTAATCAGGTTTGCTGATATTTGAGTATATGAGTTTCTTGCTCTGCCATACTGTCTGAATAACATTAAGCTTACTACAGATTTAGAGAATCTGGATAATTAAATCATTCATGTTGCCAAAGAAAAACAACAACAAAACAGCATACCATAAAAATATAATGCTACAACACCAACCAAACACAAAACACCTTCAAGGTTTCCAAAACCCTGTGTTCAGACAAAAATGATTTTCAGATATTAGTCGTAGAGAGATATAGTTGTAAACAGACGTATAAACACATCAAAATTTTTAAAAAGAAAATGGAAGTTACTCTTAAAGTCCCAATGCATTCTTTTCAAAGAAAATAGTGTTTAAATTTTATTGAGAAATCACTTACAAATGAATGCAATACTTTTCACATTTTTTGCATAATCAGAGCTCTTAAAAATTTAATCAAACCACCACCTGCCTCAAAAATTCATCATAAGAGTATTTAAATTTTAAAACACAATTATCCGTCAAAAGCACTTGAGCACTTCCAAGTCCATAATAAGAAATTGTTCAAAAAGTTCTGAGGATGCTCCAAGTAACACAATTATTCCACAAGTGAATGAATGAGCAATACCCCTTTTAGGAAACTAAAAGCAGTATCAGTACACTATTCCAGAAAATATATATATATATATTTTGATCTCTGCCATATTTTGATGCTGTGTGTCCATCCCCAAGTGTTTTAAGGTCTTTCATTGCAGCCAAGCTACATATATTAAAGGATTTAAATTTTCTTCTTCAGGTCTAAATCCTGCAGCCATATATCAGTCCTGACTCTGCAGACTCAGTGCTTTTCAACTAAAGACAAATTTTTCACTGGGAACTTGTCAATAAAAATATAAGCAATGGTGAATCCTGCTCAAAAGGCTCAAATATGTCAACCAGCATCTTCTGGGGATGACAGCCAATTTCATCCCAATTTTGACCATTCCAGGTAATCCCTAAGGCACAATGGAGCTATCTAGAGCTGTGATCCCACCCGTGCAGGGATTGGCAAAGGGAAAATGACTGATGGTCACTGCTGGGGAAAACATTCATCTCTCTCCACTCCCTGGGTATAACCAGGTTATACCTCTGAGGGTTTGATGGTCCTCCACTGCTTCACCTCACTGTGAAATCCTCTTCAACAACACAGTCAGCTTCACAGAGGAGCAGATTTTTGTCACTGTTTTCAGGGTTTCATTCAACAAAGACAGATACTGAAAGAGCGTTTCACTATGGGACAAACTGTGCATTCTAAATTTTGCCTTTTATTTTTTTTTTCTGTGTCCAACAAAATCTGTGTTCTCTTTATCATTAAAGAGCAATAGAAGGGTGAGGGGCCACTGCTTTGCCTGAAGCTTTATCTAAATATTGGTTTGTGGAGCTTTTTTTTCCGCTTTTCATATGGCATGCAATACTTAACATTTGCTTTTTTCTGACAGACTTTAAGTGAACTTGGATGTGTTACATGCAAACTAGAATTAATTGATCAAAACTGTCAAATCCACATAAAATCCAGTAAGAAATAAACTCAGTTACAGGGGTATAATGAAAACTTACATGCTATGACCTACATAATATATATTAGTGCCAAGTGAATTACAACTAACATGAAGACACTCCTTGGGAAACTGGAAATCTGACGTTAAGGGTAAAACCAAAAGTACAAACATATAATGAGCAAGTAAAATATGAAATATCCCCAAATATTAAATGTAAATATTTATTTAATCTTATTTTCTCTTTCCTTGAGAATGAGAGGCAAATCTCCTGCTGCATGGGTAAGTGAAGGAAATGAACTGTAGAGAAATACTAAATAACCTGGAGGTACCTTATGGAAAAATCTGAATACTGAGTACAGGGATTTTGCCTCTGTCAACAGCAGGGAGCCACTTTAGTTTCTAACATAGTATAAAAAGGTTCTAATTTCCACAGTACATGTCTGCTGTGTTAACCTAGCAGTGTTATCAGAGCACGAGAGAAAACAACTTTGGTGTGTCATGAGGCATTTGAATGAGCTGAAATTTTTTATATACGTACATAAAAGTGTGGCTGTTTAAAAAAAAATTAAAATACTTTTTTTTTTCATAAGCCTGTGTTTTTAAGCTTCAAACCAATACAGAGGCATTTTATCTGATGATAATGTTCATTGAAATACTATTTTAGTAACAGCCACTGTATTAATGTGGCAGCACATTGCAAGAGTTGCAGAATATTATGGGCATATATTGCCTCCTTGTCAGCAGGTTTGAGGGTAGGATGTGATGTTAGTTACTCTGCTCTGGACCTGGCTGCAAGCTTTGCCCTGATTTAAACTCTCCTGAACTGCTGCCCAGACTCGAGCCAGAATTTTGCACATTAAAATCTGCATAAATCTTACTAACACCGACAGCACAGCAATACTTTTATTGTACTTTTCACAAGTGGAATCATTCACCCAGGCCCTGTGAGGCTTGAACACACAGAGAAGTCCATTAAAAATTAGCATGTTTAGTCTACTTCTGTGTCCTTGATAGTCCTGCTGTGGTGGCACATAAAGGATTTGCTGTTAATTATCCAACTGCCTGCTAAAGGCTGCCTAATTCTGCTAAGACAAAGTTTAATGGCTGCATTAGGAACAAGTGGAGTGAGCACAGGGTTATTTTTGGGCAAAGGCACAGCAACTCATATTAACAGGGCAGCTTTGCTGCAGCAGAACCCTCAGAGGGAGCTGCTCAAGAGGTGGGAATGGCCCAGGTCTGGCTGTTCCCAGCTGGGAGCTCATCCTCTCTGTCCTACACAAAATTATTATTTCAGTGACTTCTGAGTCAAACCCAGGCTCTATGCTTCTGCAGCTGTAGTGTCAGCAGCTGATTTTGTCTAGGAAAATGGAATTCCAGGTCTTTCTGACTGTCACATTCGTTCCAGATTTAATGTTAGAAATCCTGGCTGTCACAATTATCTCATCTTCCCTTTTTTACATTATTAAAATTTAGCAGTATAAGTCTCTGAATTCATCAGATCTATTCAGAACACGACAAAGGCTCACCAGATTCTTCGCAAATGTATCCTCCCATGCCTAAAAGTGACATACCTGCTCTACATGTATCTAAACCACTAGAACTTAAAACCTTACTTTCCCTCAGTTCACCTTGAATATGAAGTAAGCCTACAGACCTTTAAAAAAGAGAGAGGAAACTCTGGATTTATCAGAATCTTCTAAAACTGAGAACTAATCCAATTATGTATTATGTTCTCTCCATGTCGTTTATTTAAATTAATTTAATCTTTTTTTTTTGCCTAATTTAAGGACTGAAAACACAGATGAAAGTCAATAAGAATTAATCTCTTCCTAGAAATGGTTTTGCATGCCTATACAAGCAGCAATGTGAGTATTCTTTCTTACTATGAATATTCATAAGAACTGACTGTAAAACAAATGTAAAAGGGGTTTAGAAAACAGAGACTAAGATAAAGAATTTTAACATTTCATGCCTAAACTATTTCCTTATTCCTGACAGCTGCTCTGTCCACAAAGAGAATGAATGGAAGAAGAATTGGATTTTAACACACAGGGCAAACACAGTCCTAGGAGGAAGATCTGACTTCAGTGAGGTACAAATGGAACCACCCTTGTCATTTGGTGTTTCCTTCCACAAAATAAACATTGTCAGCTCCAATTAGAGCCAGATTGTCACAAGTGTTCAGTTTGCTCCCTGCTGAACATCATTTTGGCTGCCCAGGTTTCTACAGAACTTCTAGGCTTGAATGAGCCCCTGAGGGTCCCCTTGGGGAGTACAGTCAGTCACCCCAGCTAAAGAACCCTTGGATGATAACAATAATATTAACATTATTAATAATAATATTTAGTTAAACAATGAAATCTATGAGCTAGCCACGAGGAAAACAAAAGCAGGGAGGCGAGCTTGGCCACCTCAGCAGCTAAGAAAATGTCTTCCTCTTATTTATCATTCTCAGATTTTTTTATTCTCAAGGAAGGTTCCTAGAGATTTTTGAGTTTCCTTCTGCCTGTTAAAGAACCCACAGAAGTCAGAGTACATGTTACATGCCTTTGAGATGGGAAAGTCATCAGTCCAGCCACCCAGGTTTTGCAGAAAGAACTCTGCTGCCTGCATACCAAAGAATGGTTTAATCAAGCTAGATATTTAGCAAGAGATAAATTAAAATTTTTCCACTGGAAAAAAAAAAGATGGTTTAAATATTTCCCTGGGGAAAAAGACAAATCCTGATGAATTCTTTAAGAGGCCAGGTACTTCACCTGAGCGTCAAATAAGATGGCCTGAGGAAGAAAGGGTCTCCTATGCACAAAGACAAGTTTCTGACTACTATAATCTCTGCAAGTTACTGCTTTTTAAACACAGCTTGATTAGTGGGAAAAGGGGCTGTTTCCTTGACAACAGCATTTATTAGCATAAAGTAAATATAGTAGTTGTAGAAAATATTCCAGTGTGTAGAGACAGAGAGTAACTGGATTTCTTTTGGCAACAGTGGACATTTATTTAGAGCCAAACTATGCCTCCTGTGATATCAATGTAGTATATTAGGTTCCATTGTAACTTTAATTTTTCCTAAAGTATTCTCAGCTACACAGTGTCATGCTCTCACACAGTCACTACTCTGCCAACGTCAGAACTGTTAAAACCACAAAAAATGGAAAAAAATAAATATCCCAGTGAGCAATTGTTCAGCAAGGAAGTTAGGGAATCAGACACACCATTTACAAAAGAAGAAAATATCAAATTTGAAATGGCAAAACTGACTGAAATCTTATTTTCACATCAATGGCTCTGGTCTTGAATCTGATTTTTTGTGCTGCAAAAGTGGCACAGGGAAAGGAAACATTCACAATAAACCAAGGTTGAGCAACAAGTTTTCCACGCCTTTCACAAAACAAATGGAGATTTCTGTTAAAGCAAGTGGGGAAGGAAGAATTCATATCTCTGATTTGTATAGAGAGTAGAAATCTGTATAGGACATGTAAAGGCTACACACACCTAGAGAAATTATAATGACTGCAGAAGGCTGAAGGACACGTGTAGAATGTGAGAGGAAGAATTAGGATAAATTAGGCTAATTGAGCAGGTGGACAAAAACAAACAAAAAAATTGTGGCTTTTGCCATGCAGAGTGTGGATCTCTGTGCAGCAGCTCTGCTTTTTGCTGCTCTGCAATGCCCTGGGCACTCTGCTGCAGCCTCCTTGCACTGTGCAGGGCACACAGATGTTATGCTCTGATGAGGAGCTGTTTGGGAACCATGGAAGGTGGTCACTGACTGTGCTGGGAATGGCACTTTGTCTTCCCATGCACTGGGGACCAAGGACAGCTCTGCTTATAAATTAGAAAACAAAAGGTTCTCTTTAAGATACACTGAAGAGAAATTACTGATGTGCAAAAAGGCATCTGGAGGATGGTTCTGAAACTTCAGAAGAAGCTGTTGGTTGAAGAGATGAGAGTCTTGACCCATCCTGTAATGATATATGTGGTATAGTAATGCCAGGTGAGCCTGACACAGCTTCCAGCAAGAATTTCCAAACCCCTAATCAATCCTTACGTTATACAGCACTTGATCCCAAGAGACCTGCTTTCCAAAGGGAGACAGGGGCGAACACAGAGGTGTAGCTCATACTAAATAATCCCTTTTTTTTGTTTTGTTTTTTGGGTTTTTTCCCTAGGAACTCACATTTGTGGGGATGGGAGAACATTCCCTGCAGTGAGGGGGATCTCACAGCCTTGGATAACTTTGGAATTCAGCAGTGCAGGGCTGTGGACCTCAGTGTAACACAGAGACTTCAGCCAAAGCCGAGTGTGATCCTCTTTGACTCTGGACATTAACTGGCGATAAATACAGGCAGAATTTAGGCAAATCAAAACTGGCTGTAGGCAGGGGCAAAGCTGGCAGCTGCAGAGGGCAAAAAGATTGTTTGGGGTAGGGAAGGATGAAAGAGCCACATCCCTGTTGCCCATTTTATCCACAGCAGAGCTGAGGAGAGCCAAGCTGGGACCAGCTGCTGCTGCTGCTGCTGCAGTAGAGGGGCTGCACTGGGGGAGCTGCATGGATGCACCTCTGGGAGCAGCTGCCCTCTCTGCCAAACGCTGCCTGCCTGCAGAGGGGTCAGAACTGATTTTTGCACACACCTCTGAGAAATCCTGAGCCAGCTTTAAGTCAACAGGGGCTCAGAAAATGCAAAAAACCAAGGAGAATAAAATTCACAAAAATGCTGCTTTTCTTCATGTTTAAAGTACTCTGGGGAAGAGGATGAATGTAGTCTTAAATAAGCTGGTATTCTGGGATGTAGGGAGAAGGATGGACTGCAAAGATCTTTTTCTGATTAAAAAGGTGATGTACGACCAGGTGAGCTACCACATTGATTTTATAAGTCACTATTTTGTTTTGCAGTTTTTCAGCTTTTCTTTATTTCATGCAGAAAGCTGAAGGGAACAGATACACATATGAGAATTATTTGTCTTGCCATTTCATCTCTGCTTCCAGCTATGACATATTAAAATGGATTTCTCCTTCCATTTGAATAAAACTATTCGAAGGATATAAAGGAACATTTTAATTTCTAAGATAACTTTACTGAATTAAAACAGTGATACAGAGAAGCTTTGTTGAAACGCCTTTTCCTTTTAACATAAATTTTGAATCTGAGACAGACAGGAGTTCTATATTTTTCTATAAAATTACTCAAAAATTAACCTAGTAATTAAAGCTACTTTGCCAAAATGAGTATTTGGGTATAAGCATTTAACTCTGAATAAATGTACAGAATTAGTTCTGCTTTAAAGGAATTAATTTCTATTTTTTAGTGATTTTTTAAATTCTTTCCTTGGTGCTGGGGTTTTTTTTCTCCTTCTTTATAATGCAGTCAATATGTTTGAAAGGTTACTCCAAAGTATCATTACCCAGAAAAGGTTGCAAGATGCCTTCATAAGAAGTCTGTATTTTGGTAGCATATAATTAAGCTGATTGGAAGTATTGTTCTCAAACTCCAGATCTCTGAGATGCAGCTTTGTGGCTGTTAAATTTATTCCTGAAAAAATTTTGCTTTTAGATGAAGTGAATTCTTGTCTCAGAAATTTCATACTGTCTATGATCCATACTCTCCCCTTGGGAGGAGGTAAAAGGACCAGGTAAAAAGGGATTTTTTTATAAATGAAGAAGAAAACTAAGTTTTGCTTTAACTTAGTTTCTATAAATAATAAACATTAGAATAAAGCAGCAGTCTAAAAATAAACAAGTGTTTTGAGCAGCCACATCATCCCAGCCCAAAGCACAGAGAGTGCCTGTCTGAGTTAATTAAACAACTCAGCTTCTGCCTAGCACAGGCAGGAGGAGACATTATTCATCTCATCCCATACTGAAAGGCTGCTCGATTTTGGGCAGATGTTTGAAGCAAATCATGGCAGTCAGTGCTGTCTGAAGAACGCTCAGTCCCTCTCAGACAAGATTAAGCAGAGTTGTTTTGTGTCATTTACATATGTTACCGCTTCTTTCTCATTTAAAATGGATCTTCAAAGGAACTCAAGGTAAAAATATTCACTTGTCTGTGTCCCATGGTCACATGAAACAGCTGAGATCCACAAAAAGACAGCTCTTGGTGTTTCTGAGAGCTCCTTTGTGGTCACTGATACCTTTATTGTGATTTCAGCAGGGAATTTTGTTCCCAGGTGACAGAGTGGCTCACTGCGCCTGTGTGATGCCTCAGGTTTTAGCTTTTATATTTTTCAGATTCTGTGCTGCTATAGTGTGTAATTCTGAGCTCCACATGAGGGGATGGTGAGCTCTCTGCACAGAGCGGAGAGACAAAACAATTCCTTCTCTAGCTGGGCACCAAGGACAAATGATCCAAATCTCAGGCCCAAGAGCACAAACAACGGGGGCTGGAGAGAGACAAACAAGAATGGGACTCCATGGGCTAAAGCTGGAATTGGACAATGAACTACAATCTGCAAATGGAGCAGAATTTCTAAAAATGAGAGACCCCGTGAGTGCTCGATAATTTGGGACCATTTTGGTTCATCTTGGGTGCAGCCCTGGCTGGGCTCTCGTGCTGCTCAAGGTGCATCCATTGAGGCCTTTTAATAAATCTCTGATTTATTCTTTAACTCTGTCCAGCCTCTGTTCTTGGTCAGCCTTCTCAAGGCATCCTGTAGACTTAGAAATAGTCACAACATCCTCTCTTAAACCTGACTTGTTTTCACCACAGACATGGTGAAGTTCAATCCTGGTTTTGTGATTGCTATTCACAGAGTCAATTATTTACATATATCATATTTAATGTCTTCATCTGTGAGTTGATTGCACAGTGTACCTTTCAATTTTACATCAGTAGTATTTCTGCTTAAATAAATATTTTCTGTAAAGGAACTAGATACAACTCTACTATGTAGAGTTGTAAACACTTCAGCCTGATCTGCTTAATACAAAAGGCCATGAGAGGGATTTGTTAAATTGAAAAGCAAAACTGTTTCTTATAGATCGCACCTGATAACTCCAAACCAAGGAACCACAGAATGGTTTGGGTTGGAAGGCACCTTAAGATTATCTAATTCCCCCCCCCTGCCATGGGCAGGGACACCTTCCACTACCCCAGGTTTCTGGAAGCCCCATCCAGCCTGGCCTTGGACACCTCAGGGATGGGGCATTTTCTCTGTGTCTACAATAATGTGTTAATTCCAGTTCTTTTAATGGTATTCTAAATGTGAAGGTGTCATGGACAGGATTGATGTGATGAATCCATACCCTTGGTGATCCAGGACCAAAGTGACCTGCTGAAATGTCCATGTTTTTGGAGCAGGACTATGTATGGGAGCAGAAAGAACTGGAAAAGCAAAATCTGCCTCTTCCACTGAATTTTCCCTGATGATTGTACTCCACTCCAGCACATTTTCACTACCACTGGCAAAAGTATGAAGCTGAGTATTATTGAATACTATTCATTTCCCCTGTGTAACCTAATGGCTGATGACTCTGTTATAAATAATTTCATCAATACCTGGAATTCAAGGTTCATATTCACTGACTGTATTAGTAATCTCTGGAGGGATTGTTTGTCACCATCTGTAGGAAAAATGTGGGGTAGGGGAATTGATTTCTGATTGATCACTGCTTTCCTGTGGAATTAATCCCTTGTGAACATTTTATAACACTTATTCAAAACATGCTCATCAACAGCCCTTTTGAATTAACACGGTGTAGGCTTTGAAATGATGATCAGCTCTTCAAAGGATAGATTGAGTAAAAGTGGTTCAGTTGTTTAGCATTAATCCAATGTCAAACATAGTCCCTGAAAATCATGTGGCAGCATTTGTTCTTTGATTAGATATTTTAACCACAAACCTCTTTTTTTACCTCTAGATAGCACATGGACATAAGAAGAGTTAAAAGTCATTAACAAACACATTTTGTACTGGTGTGAACATGTTTTTTCTTCTGACACAAGCTGTCACTGAAACTTCTGCACATGAAAACATCAATCAATAATTTTATGTGAAAGAGCATATGTGTCTTCACTTTGGCTTTGCCTCCTCTCTACTGAAATTTAGGTACTTGGTTCTTGTTACAAGTGATTCATATCACAACACGATTAATATATTCAGGAAAACATAGAATCAGACATTAGAAGGTAGCATAAAAATTTCTAAGATTGCTGTAAATGTTATGAAAATAAACTGCTAGGAGGACAGGTTCCAATTTTTCTATGTACAGTTTCCATAAATATCATAGCAATTGGAGGCACATAACCTAAAACATATTTGTCTGTTTTAGTTACCACAAAAAGTATTCAAAGTGCAACTGAGGCATTAGAAATAGTCCCAAATTTTTATGACACTGTAATGTCTTGAATATTAGCAGGATAAAATCACAAACATTCTTTTTAGAGTGTCAGGAGAGTGATTCACTAAAATGCAGAAACTGATGGAGTGCTGGCCTTTGTGGATTTTCCTCCTGTAATTTTTCCTGTGATCCATTAACACAGATTTTTGTATCAGGTCTTTTTGTACTGTTCTTGAGAGGTGCAATGTGCTTACCAGGCCATGGGAATCCAAGGATGATGCTTTTCCTAGAAGTCAACTAAATCCTGGGCACCACCAGGAATAAGAGACGGGCTCTCTTGCAGGAGTTTTCCTGTCCTAGTTCCTTCCCATTTTACCTCCTGTCCAAATGCAGTTTAGCTGGCAAGGGCAATTTACTTTAACAATATTTTTGTGAACCACTTGAGTAATAAGCATGACAAGCCTCTGAGTAAGAGGGTAGAAAAAAATTCAGCAACTTGTGCTTTCACAGAAGAGAGAAAAGAAAAGGAAAAGAAAAGAGGAAAGGAAAGAGGAAAGGAAAGGAAAAGAAAAGGAAAGAAAGGGAAGGGAAGGGAAGGGAAGGGAAGGGAAGGGAAGGGAAGGGAAGGGAGTAATGATTCCCTCACTTTTTGTTCTCTCATAACATAGCTGAAAATATTTTGAGAAGCTTTTTCATTGGATTTTTTCCAATATGACAGGTTTGGTTTTGTAAGTAAAAACTTTGCTAAAAATGGAAAAGGAGTTTTTTTTCAAGAGCACAATATTAACAATTAAGAAATAATGCAAATCTTTTCCAGTGAGAAAATAAAGGAAGATTTGAAGAGCGAAAACATGAAATTAAAATCCTGCAGCAACATAAACACCTACATTTTCTGTTCCACTATACATATATATATGCATACACAGAAGAATACACTGTTATTACTTCTATTACATTACTGATGAGAGACTGCTTCAAGAAAAACAAGACTTAGGAAAGATTAAACTCTCCAAGTCAAGATATTTTTCCTGCTTTCCTGACTCTTTTCTGACATTGCTGGCATGAAACATCTTGATTTTCCTTGGTGATAGGTGCTACACAGTGCAATATCTACCAGTCCTGTGTAGGAAATCCAACTCATTCACAAGATATTAAAGGATTTTTCTGGAATAAGATCTGCTACAAAACAGTCTTTTATCACATGAGAGAAAGCCCTCAGCTCCATAGATGATAGAAACTAAAAAACTTCTCATAACTTATTTTCCAGTGATACTGGAAATCCAGAACTATGACTGATAACTTTCTTCAGTGTTTGGCAAACCGCAGTGATTTACATCAAATTTAGCATTTATCTAAAATCCCTTGGCAAAAAAGCAAAAATTCCAGCAAAGCATGCTCATGATTGAAATACAAACAGTAGCCGGTTTGGAAAGCAAAAGCTCAGGAAATGGTAATTGCTTCCATGCTCTGATTTTGCATT